CAAAGTAGGAATATAGTTACCCTCATGAGGAGTTGAGGGCTTATAAGGAAGTTTTTCCAAAAATGTCGAGTTGTGTGATGCTAAGAATGGCGATACTCACTGACGATGCCGACTACGATGCCGACGAAACGTCTGGGAATGTACCACGTCCACGGTCCTACTCTGAAAACGATGATGCATACAATGGACTCCGGACTAGGTGCGTTTGTTTAAGTCTTCCTACCAATATGACAGAGTTGCGAAAACAAGGTCAAACAACTTCTACCCCAAATTGTTGGTTGGATAAATGGACAGCTATTTTGTCATCTGGCCTCATGGTAAGGATAGATTATACTGTTTCTTGCTTTCAATAAGCCAACGTGAACGAAACATTTGGTTCACAATGAAAATAGAAGAGAACAGATCCTTTACTCTCTTTAGATATTTTCGTCATTTGAGGTAAGGTTTAGTTAGGGAGAGATGTTTATAAGAAGCCAACATATGTTGGCTCATTTCTGAATTTTCCCTCCAATTATACTTACCAAACTCAGGCTGGAATTTTAAAGTCAATGCTAATTTGGATAGTAACTATTTGATTAATGAGTTAGAACGGCTGAAAGATGTATTCGAAGGTATGAATACCAGGATTGTGTGGCCTTTTGTATGGTCGCGGTATCCTTTCGTTTTATAAAAGTTGTTTTACCTTGTTTTCGCAACTTGATCATATTGAGAGGAAGACCTAGAGCAAAGCACCTTGTCCGGAGTCCATAATATGCATGATAATTTCCAGAGTCGGACCGTGTACTTGGTACATTTTCAGGCCTTTCGCCGGCATCGTTAGTGAGCCTTGCTTTTCTTATCAAGTAAAGTCGATCCTTTGATCAAATGTCTGCTAAACAATTGTGGTCTCCTTCTGTCCTGGAGTATTCACCTATCCTATAGCTTCGTATCACCCCTTCAATATCAATTTTAAGCCAGAAACAGGATATGTGAACAAAATATCCAGGACATAACCCTTACTCATTTTAACATTTCGTACTAATGACTCTTAGAGGTTTTATTCTATGCCTTACTAGCGCCTTCTTGGGACAGGACCACAGGAGGCCTGCTTGGCGCGCGTGATGCGTCAACTTGGCAAAATTAGTCTTCCAGAAGCTATGTTTGACAACTCTCAACAAGCATCACAGGAAGCTGACAGACAAGCCTGGCTTGAGACGCGCTTGTCTGAAGAGGCTCTGCTGATGCAGTCCCAGCGTGAGGCGATTCAGAAAGAACAGGCTCGCTTACATGAGCGTAAAGAGGCGGAATGGGTAAGTTAAGCAAGAGGCCAAGGAGTCAGTTAGTGCGAAATTGGGTATTTATATGAGTTTCCATGTAACTAATCTAGTCGAAGCTCTTACTTAAGGCTCAGTGTAAAGATAATTTCAGGGGAGATGCTAAACTCTTTATAGTGGGAAGCATATTGAAGAGAATGCCAAAGTTAATGGCAAAATTTATGAAGCGTTTGCTGGAATCTAAGAATATTCACGAAAACTAGGTATTATTGTAGATATGAAGAGAAACTAGGTTTCGATGAATCTCTTGAGATAATATTGTTAGGGGGACTTTCAGTTCGCAGGAAAGTAAATGAAGAAGTAATTCGTTGGTCGATCTCAGTAGATGAGGACGGATGAATCTCGTTGTACTGCAGAGATATCTGTGTAATAATAATTTAATCATAAGAAAAGCCGACAAAGATGGAGCAGTGGTAGTTATGGCTAAGTCAAGTTATGTAGGAAAAATTCTAGTTCATTTAAATGACAATGACACATATAGACCTTTATTGAGAGACCCAACAGAAAGACTTAAGATTAGGCTAAATGATGCACTTAAGATAGGCATAAGTAATGGTGAAATGAAAGAGGGGAAAATGAATTAACTACTCCAGAAAAATCCAAGGGCTCCCACGGCTTAAGGTCTCCAAAAGAGGGTTCACAAAGAGGGTGCCCCCATAAGATTAATTATAAATAATA